TTCTTCTGGATACTTTTACAAAGTAAACATCTTGAGATAAGGTCATGGAGTCTTGGGGATAGGAGGAGTGAAGGAGAAAAAACATGAAAAATAAGCACCATGAAAACATTCTGGATCTCAAAACGAACAATGAATTTTGAAGCAAGCTGATTTCTCTGGAAGAATCTGTGGTCATTAAAAACACTTCATATCTTGTTTTCAAAGATAATCACACCTATGAAAATCCACTCTCTATATACTATATCTAAATAAGAAGATTATACCTCACTTGAAAAATTTCAAAATTATTTCTAAAATTGTTAGAAGAATATTTGAAAATTAAGTAGAAGCTTCCAGGAAAAATATGGGATATAATTTCTGTGGACTGAAGATTATCCCAATCAAGTCTGGATATCTAACTTCAAAGAGCTCTTGAAAGCCTCATACAACCCTTCCATATAGCATATGCTGCACTAGGGGAAAAAAAAAAAGGACAAAAAGATAATAAAGTCAGAAAATATAAGCTTGTCTTCTGCTACTAAGTAAAAAGGGTAGAATATGATCATTAAAGGTAAAGAACTATGAAATAACTCAGGTATTAGGCTCTGAATCATATAGTTTTTGAAGCATTATTGAAGAGCAACAGAAAACAAAAGTTCATATGAAGGAGGAAGTATCAAAATACGGCATTTGTCAGAATAAGGAGATAGTGGGTCTTGTCATGAAGTGCAGAGCACAGAGAAGAATTACAGACTCATTTTCAGAACGGCGGCACTGTCTCATACACCCAAAAGAAATTCGACTTCAAAGCTGCTTCTGATGAGCCGGGTACACACAGGACAACAGAACAAAGGGACAAAGAAACTGGCAAAACTTACATGGTTGCTACTGGTGTCAAGATCATTTTATGGCTCATACTTTCCCTGTAAAAAGTATCTAGGAGCAAATTGTCCCTTTGAGGTTCTAAAAAAAAAGTTACTGTGATGAAGGAAAATCATTTTTCAACTCCCAAAGGAAAGTTATTCTCTTAACGGCCTTTCCTTCCAGCCCTCCCTTCTCCCACATTTTGCAGTAGTAACAGTCGTGAAACACAACGGCTCCACCTATCAGAAGCAGAAATGCCATTTATTTATCAATAAAAGTTAATGTACAAACAGGTTTGCTGTAAGAGATTTTTGCAGTAAGGCAAATACAGTAAGGACAAAAAAAAACCCCAAAAAACAAACGGAAAAAAAATAACCAAGAGATCAAACATATTCTCCACAGGAAAACTCAATAGTTGCAAAGAAAAAAAGAAAACATTATTAAAAACAACATAATCATCCGATAGTTTCTCTCCTTTATATTTCCTATCTAACAGCTGTTGCTTCAAAAAGGGAAGCTAAGGAGGTGAGGTGTAAGCAGTAGCACTGTTTGGAAGACCTAACGATGTACAGGGACCAGCCTTAGCACTGGATAAGGTTAAATATTGCACAAAAATGGCTTGAGCACTGGGGAATTTCTTGCGAGCTGCCACCTCACAACCAGCACAGCCTGGGCACCAAGCTCCAGAGCTCTCCCCACTGAGCTGCCATGGGGCAGCTACGAATGCAGGACACAGCGGTGGGAGAGGACCAGGGAACTGCGTGGAACATGTATTTTACACTGTTACGCAATATGATTTGTCTGATTGCATGAAAATAAACAAAAACAGTCACAGGAGCAACAACGCTTGGTCTTCCCACCATAGGTTAGCGCAAGGAAGTGCCCATCCACCTCAACAGGCCTTTCTGAGAATGCATGGAAATCTAAAACAAAATTAACTATAACGTGTGCCACGTTACCTGATGCTAGCAATATGAGGTGGATTTGGTTTAGGCTCCTTTTACTGTATTTTTCTCTTTAATGCCACTTTTGTGGCAAAAGTGTAGCCTTTTTTACAATCGCTATTATTATTCATAATTATTTCTGATATAATAATGCCTGTCTCTGCTCTTTCATAAAAAAACAGAGCAAAAAAACTTCAGTAATTCTTCCATCAGGCTCAGCTGCTTGCTCTTGAGGTAGCTTTTCTTTTAGAAAAATATGCAATTTTGATCAGAGGTTTAAACTAATGGAAAATCTATCATATTTCCCGAATGATACATTCCAATGATAAAATACCTTGACTTTTTAAAATGTGCATTATATTTTCTGATCAAATTTTCTGACTTTCAGACTCAGCCTCAATATCTTGTTATGCTTTTTCTCCATGACAAATGAACCACCAATACCCTGTGCCACGTATATGTCACCTCTTAACCTTTTCTTTGACAAAGAAAATGGACAGAAGTGAAAAGAAACTCACATATGAATTTGTTTAAAATGGGCTCAATGTTTCTTACAAGATGATCAGTTCAGGTCTCATGCAAAATAATATTCTTTCAACTCCAAAATCTAAGCAGAAGAGTACAGTTTTCACTCATACACAAGAGGTTTAGATTCAGAGAAAGACAGGAGGACCCTCTTCCCTTCCCAACCTGCACAAAAAAGAATGAGGAACTAATTGAAGTTCCATTTCTTTCCCTTTCTACATTAAGATAGACCAATCAGAGATTATCAAAACAAAGAACTTTAAAACACATGCAGAAATACAGGGAGTACAAGTAAAGGGGAACTACAAGTTAATATTTACACACAGCTACAAAACCAAGACAGTTTCAGGAAATGCACAAGTCTGGCAGCAGCTTGATCAGTTATGACAGCCATATATCATGTCCCATCAGGTTTTGTTTCTCTTCTAGATCACAGCTTTTTGATTATTTTAATTAAGCAATTACTTTTTATTAGCAAATAAGCTTAGTGGATTTCTATCAAAATAAGAGAATGTCATAGTATCAATCAAGGAGAAGAGTATGGACAGCATCTGCCCTGCTGAGGGACAACAAGCATTTGCCAACGAGGCGGTACTACTGATATGACAGCCACCTCTGCTTAGCATCAGATCAAAACAACATGTAAAAGAGGAAAACACAAGAAAAATCATCTCTAATCTTGAATCTTTATCTGTTATTCACCTTTTGGGAACAGAAACAGCTCTTTAAGAGTCAGAGCACGGGAGCTCTATCAGTAGAACAGCAAAGCTTGACTCAAAACAACAGTGCCATCCAGACCAGACAAATTTCTTGTTTGGTACCTTCAGCAAAGCATCTAGAACATACAGTTGAAAAGCCAAATTGCTCTGCAGTAACAACAAATACTCTGTGCTGCCCCAGAAGTAGATCTAACGTCAGTCTTAATGAGGCCTGCGCACCCACACAAAAACATTAGTACGACATAGAAGCATCATGTAGAATTTGCCATTATGTTCCACTTTAATGGTGTCCAAGGCAGAAAGGGGAAAAATTTAAGTCAAAAAGCTATTCCAAGTTAACCCATAACTGACTTGACACGTTTTAGGGAATGATCAATATAGAAATATGTTGCTTTGGCCAGGCCAGCAAGTCTTTTTGTCTTTTCCTCTCCTTTTAGTCAAATAATCTGGGCTTTTCTTGCCATAAATACTACTCAATATCAAAGCATTAGTAAAGATTTCCTTTATTTGGCAGCATTAAACCAGCATCAGTACATCAATGATCAACAGTAAATAGCAGAGTTAATTAACCACCACCTAGGAATCCTAAGTTCATTAACTATAGATTGCTTTATAAATGCATACACATCCTCGTGAGTAGGCTCACTGCATATTTAATAATTGCTAGCAAGTTATGTTGCTGTCTTACACACGCATACACAAACACACACAAGCGCACACGCACACAGACAAACACATTTTTCCTCAATGTGACTTCTTTAGCATTAACCAGCCTAGCACAGAGACTCAGAGATAACTGACATTCTTCCAATAACCATGCATAATTCTTACACTCATTTAAGGCCAGTGGAAACAGTAAGAAAGACAGAGAGAGACACAGAAGGGAAACAGACAGGCAAGAACACCCACTGATTCAAGACAGGTTATTGTCTCCTAGTTCTTCCTCGGGTCAAGAGCTAAGGGGTTTGGCCTAGAACAAGCTGGGAGTGAGACAGAGGCAGGAGGGCAAGAGGATAAAGAGGATATAACTGCTTAAGAAAAACTATCTCAAGAAGCTGTGAAGGGACTTCTGGAAAAGTCATTTAATATGTCCTCATGTGATAGGGATAGTGAGGCTACCCTGATGGATGCTGTTTTCTTGGATAAGATGGTTGATATGCAGGTCAGACCTTTGATCTGTCTGGTCACTATGTACACTACTGTTCACATTTTAGAGTAGAGAAACTGTAAATGCCTGAAATTTGGCAGACTTGTTAAGCAAGCTCAGCTGTCACAAAACATACTAGTGTGCAGAAGTTGATATGAAAAGAGAAGAGCTGCGAGACTGTCCAGGACAGCGAAAACCATGAAGCCTCTCTAGGGGAACTGATTCAGAGAGAGACAGGGGTAAACTCAGTCCTTCAACTTTGGTAAGCGTCGTAACTAACTTAGGTAACTGAAAAAATATAGGCATGTTTTGAGGATCGACCTTGGCTCAAGTTGTTTTATGAAATCTTTGGCTCTTATTCTAAGATTCTGAGCAGAAACAGTCTAGCGAAGCTGCATTTTATAATGAAAAATGAAAATAAAAACATTTTAAAAAGTGAAATAGTTAAATATATAAGCAAGTTTCAAGTATATTGAATATTTCGTAAGGGAACTTACAAGGTCTCTAGATATCTTCATATTGACTTAACATAGTTCAATATGTTAGAGCAACAAATCCAATGCATTCGAGTGTCTGGGTATCACGGCTGACCATATTTTGAATAACAGGTCACTGAATCACTGAATTCTTGGCATTTTAAATTTATGCAAGTCTTTTGCTATGAACAAAAACAAAGATTATTATTTAAATACCCATTCAGCTGCACGCACAACTATGATAAGCTGATGAACCAAGCACAACATACATTTTCTGTATTTAACTTTTTATCTACGTATGATATACATAAATCTCACACATAAGGGGTAAAAGCATGTGATATTCCACAGTAATAAGGCAGGCTGACTGAGTTCCAGTGTCAGACACTGTAACTGTACCCTGTAAGGATTCAGCTGCAAATCTTTGTTTCCTTTATGTCTTTCATATATTTGCAATTCACAGGTAAAAGGCAAAGGCAAAGTCTTTCAGCTGGAGTTCTTTCATCCAAGAACGTTCTTCAACCAAGGCCAAAGGTCCACCATATCCTAAAGGGGCTTTGGATCTGCATGTTCAATCATCTTCATCCAAATGTATTTCTTTGGGAGCGCTATTCGGTCCTTGTGGTGGATCCTAAAAGAACACCAATAAAGACTGTCTTCATTCCTTCAAATACAGTCCTCAATGGTTTCATCTTCAGGACCACTGCATAAGAATACTGTGTCAAAGTTGCAAAATGGTAAATGGCTCAGAGATGTTTCAATTAAAACCCCAGCACACTGAATCGCTTCATCTACAGTAGTTTTTCATCAGTTCTTTAGATAAAGCCTTCTGAGATGAAATAGACTTTCTGGAAATCCACACATATGAACACAGTATTTTTTCCTTGCACTAAGAGCAGTTTAAAAAAGCACTACATTACTACTACTTCTTCCCTGGACTATTATTTCTAAAGTGATAAAAATCGTGGCATAAGACCTTACATGCACATTGCAGGACTATAGAATACTGGGAATAAAAAGCTCTCTAGAAGCTTTACTGACGAGGGACAAGCCGAGTTATCTCTGTGAGGAAATAAGACAGTTATTTAATGGTTCATGAGAATACTATAAAACAGCTTATAATGGGAAGTAAAAAAAAATGTAATTTGTAATTATCTAAAAAATGTCACCTAATTTTGGTTTCCAAACCAATCTCACATTCCAACCTGTCCCTCACTATTCTACTTCACCTAGCTTGCTTAACTTTCTTTGGTCATGTATCCTTCTTTTTTTTTCAATCTTGCAATCCTTTCTTGATTACATTTTTCTATCTCCCCTGAACTACCCGTTCCTTTACCTTTCTTTCATCTGAGCAAGTACTTCTTCTGATATCCTTTGTCAAAACTATATACTCTTCTTTCCTTGTTCCTTGTTTTCACTTAGTCCTTTTGTTTCTCTTTTTGCAACATTCTCAACCTCGCAGTCTGCCTGATTTCAGGTTATTTTCTCTTTTCAATACTTGCCTCCAATTCTTCTTTACCTTTACTATTTTACACTCTTTGCTTTCCCTCACATCCCTCTTTCTCCTAGAAATCATAAATAATTTCCCATCTTCTCAATATCTTTTTGCATGCTGTGTGACTTCTACCAATTTCACCTACCTGTCAAACAACTATTTCTCAAGACTGACTCAAACTATTTCTAAAATAAGGAAACAACCCTACCTTTTTTATTCTCCCCACCAGTATATGATAACTAAATAGGAAGGGAGCTGATCTTTAGCATTAACAAAAAAAGAAAAACTCTGCAAGCAGTGCTGCCCAATCTTCATTATTTTATTACAATGCTTGAAATAATTACTCTTTTTTTTTAATTAAAGCTGCAGTTTCTGAAATAAGTATGTAAAAAATCCCTCTGAAAAGAAAGTTTCACGCTATGACGGTAAGAAGAAAAGCATGATATATGATCCTATCATAACTTAGTCATTCAAAGATAGAAGGATAATAATTCAACCCTAATATTTTAAAGCCTTCTCATCTTTGAACTGAGTAACTACTAGCATTTTGACTCACACCTTTCCAGGGACAGGCATAAACCTGATCTGAATAGAAGGGCACAAGGTATAATAACAATTCCTTAAGTTCATGACTGAATTTGAATTATTCTGGGTGAGCAGTAATGACCATATGATCAGACGCTTATAGGAATGCAAAAAATAAACAAAAAAGGAAAGTAAGAGTCTGGATCAGTAAAAGATATGTCCTAAAATATCACTCATTACACTCAAGTTGTAAAACCTGGCAACACCATTTTCTTGGGAATCTCAATTTTGGACTGAAATGACCAGAAGTATCAAGTGTTTTGTACTTTGCAGATTTCAAACTAGTAGTAAATGGATGAAAAGCTCAATTTTCCCTCAGTGGTCTGAGAGATTCATTTCTATCAAAAGTCATTTCATGATCTCAAATTAGAAACTGCTTCCCTGTAATGGGAAATGGACAGGTCAGATAAAGGATACTAATGAGGATTACTTTTTCTTGGGACAGAAAGCAATCAATACCTCTCCTTAATTGATCTTAAAGAGCTGTGATGGGGGTAGTACGATTTTTTCTACTCCAAGTTGTAAGTTCTACAAAGCCTCTAATTGCTGTTTTTCCTAGACTTAGTATAGTAAAATCATCTTTTGTGTTGTTCTTTCATAGTCCTAAACAATTTTTCAACCTAACAATAGGAAGATTAAAATTCTGACTAGAAGACACAAATTTGACAACTCACCATAAGTGATACCCCTTCCCATGACCAGGCTGTGTTTATGTAAGTTAATTACTTGTAAGAAATATTTCTCTATGAATTCTATAATTAAGTTTAAAACTGCAGGGTTCAGAAACCAAATCCTTTATCTTTTATAACATTAGCACTTAAAGACGCTAACAAAACTTACACAGCTCAAACAAAAGCTTCCCGTTGACTCTCTCTTCTTCCTTCAAGGCCTGACCAAAGCTCATCTCTGACTTCAAATTTGATAAAACTCAGATGGGATTTGGTTTGTAAAATAACAACTCTAAGCTTTAAAGTTTATTCTTTGTAGTGTCGTATGTTCTTCAGCTTTTCAGGCGTAAACTAGATTTTTGCACAATGGAGTCAATAAAAAACTTTTAGTTAAAAGAGATTAGTGGTTTAAGGTACTGGGCATCTTCTTGTAAAAACAAACATTATATATAGACTTTTACAGCAAAATAAATGCAGAAAGCAAAACTAAAGTGGACTGCTAGTTTCAATTGCAGCCAGAAGGAAGACTGAAGGTGAAGTGAGAGCATGTATTCTTAAGTCATTTTTTTCTGAGAAGTTTCAGGCCTATCACGTCTTAGACCTAGTATATTATGCAATTAAGGATGATTTTCTGGGTGCTCAGGCGTTCTCAAATCACTCAGACAAATCGAAACTATTGCTTTATGTCTTGGCACTTGGTCATAGGGAGACCCTAGCTTCCCCCTGCCAATTCCTTCTGAAAAATGCAGCTGTGCAAAAGCACTGATGATGATGAGCTTGGTGCTGGTTTAGCGCTTTCTCCACAGTGGTAAAAAACACACTGCGAAATACCATGAAGTGCTTGGAAGCACTCACAAACTGCTCAGTGCCCAGTTCTCAGCATTAAAGCTAGCTGTGGGTCAAGGAAATGCCACAAAAAAACCCAAAGCTTTACAGCTGTCGAAATACTTAAGCCCCATCAGATTTTAAAGTGATGTCATAGCAAAGCAGCTATTACTTGCCTGCCACAGGATCTGCTGATGGCAGTTGAAGCTCTTATTCATCAAGGGGCCCAAATAATTGAAACAATCCATCTGCTCTGCACGGTCTCGTTTGGGCTCTATGGTGATGACTTGCTGCCTTGCAATATTTGCCAGTGAAGTCGTTCTTAATCAAGGAGTTGCTGGCCTGCTAGATCTCCTGAGAACTGTACTGCACGCCTCTGATGGAGCCCAGGTAACTCAAATAATCCACCTGTTCCAAGCTTTGCCCTAGCAGCAAAACCTGATGGGATGTGATATTTGGCAGCGACTGTCATAACGCATCATGCAATTGCCAGACTCGTGTGTATTTCCTGAAAGCTGCTGCTGGTTTTCATCATAAATTCCAGATAATTGAAGTAATTGACCTGCTCCAGGGCCCTGCTTTCACTCGAGCGTTCTCTGGGATGGGACATTTGCCTTTTGTCATATTTATTTAAGAGCTGCAGTGGGATAGGCTTTAATTACTTTCTTCATGAGATGTCATACGAACACAAAGAAAACTGACATTATTTGCATAGTTTGTGTTACTGAGCTTGCAGGCACTAGATCTGCTCTCCATAGGCACCCCATGTACATGCAGCTCAGGTTCAATGTTAAAAAGATACTGAGGGGAAGTGTTGGAAAGCAGGCAGGAAAAATATAATTCCCATTATCAACCTAGTTGCAAAACTGTTAATGGAAAGAGCAGGAGGATTACTGCTCTCATATAATGAGTGCTAAGTAATTTAAACAGGGCACTGTTGGTCAAATGGATCCTTGTTGCAATACTTAAGGATCCTACAAATATTTTACAGTGGGCCCTGACTTAGGCTTTTCACCACTTATGCAGTTAAAGGTCAGAATTGCCTGTTGATTGATATAAAGATTTTATAATAGTCCAATTAACTATATTAGCCATAAAAAGCTTTTATGCTTTCATGTGCTGTTGGGGGAAGAGGGGCATAGATCTTGTAGTCAGATTATAGGGCTTGGTTTTATTTAAGAAGTACAAAAATACTGCATACACTCAGTAGATTACATCCCACTTCTGAATTTACTATCTTCATCTCAAGGAGATACGTTACATTATATTTATGACTCTTCTAAGCATCTGTGCAGGTCACAAACTGATTGGCAGTGACTGTCAAAGTCTAACATATCTGCAATAATCTTGCAAGTATCAGTTATAGAGCTTTTCAGCACTTCCATTAAGATCTAACATTTCTGCAGCTGTACTTACTTCTCCATTTTTAGAGGTCCAGGATTTTGCTCTCCACAAAGTACAGGATAACAAGATAATATTATTTTATTTTAAAAAACCTCTCTTAACACAGCATCATCTTCTAATAAATCCAACTAAAGCCCACTTTTTGGGGGGGCGGAGGGAGGGAGGAGAAAAGGTGTTTTAAATCTGTAGTTTTCTCTTTTCAGTCTTTATCTTTCCTTCATATAGACAACATTAAAATGATTTAAAAGAAAAATGCTGATTTTAAAGTGATAGAGTTGCCAAATCTTGTATTTTGAGCAGTGCACAATTTTATAAAGAACATGTTAGTTGTTTACACTCCTTTTTTTTCAATTTGAAAGAAAACGAAGCCGATTCAGAAAGTCAAGATGATCTCTTAAGAAAAAAGTAGTTTATAAGTAAAACATATATTGAAAAGAACACATTTGCATCATCTTCCATCAAAGCTCCCTTGAGAAAAATGCAGTAGCTTTTTTTTAAGGAAAACAAAACAGAACAAAACACACACACATATTCTCTCTGCTAAACGAGAGAAAGGCTTTCTCAGTTGGAAAGGTTTAAAGATAGATAATGTAAATATACCAAAAGTCAAGTGCTGGCTTCCAGAAGAGACATGTTTTTGTCCAAAATGAACCT